CTGAATTTTCAGCATCATTACTCCAGTCTTCAGTGTCACATGATCCTTCAGAAATCATTCTGATATGCTGATTTGCTGCTCAAGAAACATTTCTGACTATTATTAATGAAGAAAACAGTTGTGCTGCCCAATATTTTTTTAGTATTTTTTTATTTTTTTTATAAATAGACATCTTTAGTCACTTTCATTGTGTCGTTGATTTTTTTTTTTTCAAAAAACACAAAAAAAAGTTACTGACCCAAAATAACATCTGTGACCTTTGACCCTGCGTCTGACCTGTTGCTGTGCACGAGCGCGGTCCAGGTCCAGTTCTCCGTCTGGTCCGATCCCGTCAGCCAGGACCTGTTCAGTGTCACTCAGCCACTGCGAGAGATCGTTCATATCGCAGTGAAACTGCCTCCACTCCTCCACAGCTCCATCGAAACACCTGCACACACACACACACACACACACACATCAGAAGAGGAAACACGCTCATCTAAGCGATGATTTCCTCACATTACATGCATTTCTTCAATTAAACACAACAACACTGTGTTTCGAATCGTTTATCTCATTTTCAAGCAAGTGTGGCGTGTTTGCACAAGAGATGCATTGATACCACTCGCCAGTAAATCTATCAGACAGATAGTGCCCTCAAGCACTCAGTATCAGCGTCATAAATTCATTTCTCTGAGAGGACGAACACAAACGGCTGCTCGAGCTGACGATACATTCATCAAAAGATCTTAATGATTCACTCGCAGAGACTGCGGCCCTATCTGACAGATCACTGTGCAATAAAGCATGTATAAGTTAAAACTGCAGCTGAAAGTATGTTCATTTTAACCATGAGCATGTGTCAGTGTTGTTATTGTTAACTAAAACTGATTTCATTACTTGAAATAAAACTGAAATAAAACAAAATACAAATATTAGATGAAGAACCCAATTTAAGTCGAAGTACTAATATTCTTAAAACTAAAACACAAATTAAATCCAAATATAATTTTTTTAATTTGATAAATATTAAAACATAAAGCACAAAGTAAATTTAAAGTAAAACTGAAAATATAAAAACGAAAGACTAATTTGAAATATGAATAAATACCATAATAGGCTGAATAACTTAACAATTAACTAAAAACTGGTCTGCTCAAGCTGCTTAACCAGTAAGAACCTGCCGTTTCATATTAAACCAGCTAAACTGACAACCTTCTTCACTGGAAATGCTTTTCTAGCTGACTGACTTTACTGGTGATCAGCATGGTTAAACTGGTACAGCAGCTAGCCCAGCGTAATTCAGCCAGGATCATTTTTTGGAAATGAATATTGGTCTTTTCGGCAGGGAACTCTGGTTCTTCCTCATGTCAGCGGGTGTCTATAAATCTGGCCGAGTAACTGGGTCACATTTCTGTTTAACAGTGTAGAAAGCTGGCGGATTTCACTTCAACTTCCTGTGTGACTGACTTCTGACAGAGATGAAATCCTGCTCACCTCGGAGAAGAACCTACCGCTTAAATTATTAACTTTGAGCTCTGAACTCAATCTCAATAAAACATGTCTAGGTCATATTTCAACCCAAAATCAAAGAAAAAATATGACGAGTTATATTTCGCATGAAGAAAAAGAAGCCTATTTAGGCCTGTTTTAGCATTATGACATTATACTCATGACAATCATGCACTTTTTCCAGAAATTAAGTTACTGTATTAGGTTCAATCAAGTTACTGTAGACTTTTTTGCAATTCTCATTTTTCTAAAAAAAATATATAGATTTTTTTTAGTATTATTTATATATTATTTAGTGTTGTCAAACGATTAATCGCGATTAATCGCATCTAAAATAAAAGTTGTTATTTACATAATATATGTGTGTGTACTGTGTATATTTATTATGTATATATAATTACAAACACACGCATGTATATACTTAAGAAAAATATGTTATGTTTATATATTAAATATTTTTATGTATAATATAAATTATATGAATATAAATATAGACATGTAAATACATGT